TCATAGAGATCTTCGGAGGGAATTGATGTCCTTGAGATGTTGTAATTGTCGAAAGCCCGGAGTAAGGACCAGAGGAGAACATTGATGATGTCTCATCAGACTCGAAAGTAGTTGAGGACGGCCTCTGGTTGGGTCTGTTGTTCGAAACGGTTAGCAGGGAATCCTGATATTCAGTAACACGCTGCACCATTTTTAAAGACTGTACTACTTCCCCCATTGTTGGCCTTTGGCTAGCCTCCGGAGCAACACAAGCAGGTGCAATTGTGCAAACTCGTACGAAATCCTCCTTCGGGTACTTCCTTCCAAGCCTTGCATCAGCTAGCTCCTCCAACCGATCCTTGTCTCTTAGGATTGGTCTCGACTGAAAGCGGAACAACAACTTGTTGTAAAAGTTATCTAACAACTCGAGTGATTCATAAAAGTCAGGCTTATTACTCACACATGTGACCAGGTTCTCCTGTCCCGATGGTTGCGACATATCTGCAGGTGTCTTTCCAGTAAGTAACTCGAGCAGTACAACTCCATAGCTGTAAACATCACTTTTTACCAATAGATGCCCGGTCATAGCATACTCAGGAGCAACATACCTATAAATCAATCCCATTCTACCTTAGTGTCAATTCAAACAAGAGAGCGATATTTACAAGAATGGTGCATGAAGCTAACCCAAATGTTCCCATGACACGAGTAGACAGGTAATTTGTTCTGCCTTCCGGTGCCTGTTTGGCAAGGCCGAAATCGACAACTTTAGCGTGAAAGTTGTTCTCGAGTAATATATTGGATGCTCTGAAATCTCTGTGGATAACACATGGCTGTGAGTCCTCATGCAGCATCCAGTGCAATCTTCATTCTGGTGTCCCAGTCCAGAGGACAATTTACTCCCAACGGGCCTGAAGCAAAAACGGGATCGAAGTCAGTTCCGCATATTAAAAGCCCCTCAAGGGAAAAAAGAAGAAGGATAACATCATTTAATGAGTTCCCAAGTGTTGAAGTTTAGAAAGGCAAATTACCTTGGAGCCAGGCTTCTAAACTTCCATTTGGAACAAGCTCATAACAAAGCAGGTTTTGTGAAGAGTCACGACTGCTATAGTAACCTACAAGTTTCACAAGATTAGGATGATGCAATCTGCTAAGCATCTCAACTTCAACTAAAAACTCTCTATTTCCTTGATGCCCTCCACTGATAAGCCTTTCAATCGCTACAGCCGTCCCATCAGTTAAAACACCCTTGAAAACTCCGCCGAATCCGCCCTCCCCAAGCGTGCTTGCGGGTGCAAAGTTGTTTGTTGCTTCTTTAAGCTCTTCATATTTATAGAAACCGAGTGCTGCTTAGGCGGGGAAAAGACCCTGCTTGTGCAACCGCATCTGCAGTCTTTGGTTTTACTGCAAGAATAAGAAAACCTAAGCACTCTGTAAGACTGAATTAAAACCAGTAATGCAGAATCAATCAGCATTCTTGTTACAAGGTTTCACAAGACGCGAAAAATCACACAACTCAAGCTTTAGTTTTTAGCTAACTTAAAAGAAAATCATAGTCATTGTGGTTAAACATACCAGGTTCTTGAGGAGATGCTTCTGTCTTTCCCCCACTGAATGCACAGGAACAAATTATAAGCACGGATATTATAGCAGAAACCAGTAAGCCAGCAGAAATACCGAAGATAAGAGTCAAATCTGAATGTTTCCCCTCGTTTGAAGGGCTTGTTGATGTACAATTGGAGGATTTATGTGCTGGTGCAGCTACAGGTTCAGAAACCACAACGGCAGCTGTAAACAAGATGCTGAGCTTTGTAAGTATAGTTATATACAAGTATAATTAAAGTGAAATAAAACAAAACTATGAGTTTTCAAGTAGCCATTGGGTATAAAAGCTACTTGGGATCAAGAAAAACATAGCTTTCGAAAGCCACCAGATACGAGAAGAGCTGAAGTCATATCATAATTTACCTGGGGAAGGCGCTGGAGCCTCAAACCATGTAAAATTAAGGACTTTGAAATCTCCAACTACATTTGGGTCAAAATGAGCCCTATGCATCACAAGTGAAGAGTTTATTTTAGAAGCATACTGGCAGAGAAACTGATCCCTGCGTGTGGGGTAATATCCATGGAGATATTTAATCTTGAATCTTGATAAACTGATGGAATAAAAATTGGTAATGTCAATTTGAGTAGGCAGCAATTGAAGCTGAGAAGCAAGCTCGACTAGAAAAACACGCCAATTTGGGTTTTGGGAGACATTTAAAAGGAGAAGGTCAAGCTTTATGGGATACACGCAATGGCAACTATGACTCCCTCGTTTCAAAATTGAATTCAGTTTGCGACAGTCTGTCCAATTGCGAAAATACCATGTCAGCATCTCATATACACAGTATATATATGAGTTGGCAAATTAAGAAGCTCTTTGCATAGAAGTAATATAAATGAAGTTGACTTTTATATGTAACGAAAACATAAAGAATGAAGTAGAATAGAGTTCAAAAAAATGTTTTAGAAAATATGTTACCAGACACTTCAGGAGACAATGGTGGTTGAGCCAAACCAGTAGGAATTCCCCAGGGCGGAACTGTGTAGGGGAAATATTTGGCAAGTCTGTACCATGAGGCACTGAGGCACTCTTGTTCATCAATGGTTTTGACAGGCGCGAGTCGTAGGAGGATGGCAGGAAGTTATAAACCGATCATTAAGAGAAGGTTGGGTCGGTGCTATAAGTGTTGGTGCACTATGTGGTGAAAAGTATCTTCGGCGTGATCTATGATCAGTGGCAGATTGGAAGGTAGGGGAAGACCAGAAACAGCTGGTGCACCCTTGTGTGCTCTAGCGGGCGATTGTGCAGGTGCTTGAAGTAGACTATTCGAAAAATCAGCACCGGCGACCAAAATAGCACAACTCACAACAGCTACAACTTTCACCAAAAATGAACAGATATTTCCCAGTGCTCCTGTTAATTTATTATATTAAGAATAAAACTCAATCGCAGAAGGATCAAAAGCTACAACAATGATAAAAAAAATCGATGTCTAAATCGCAATTGTGAATTCGTGACAGACAGTACAAGATTGTAACCCTCAAATGCAAGCATACCTCTTTCACTGCCAAAATAATCGACTGTTTCTTTCATAAACCTATTCTGCTAAAATCTTCTACTGCTAGTTTTTTTGAAAAGAGTTTTCTCTCTCGATCTTAAAAGGCTCATTTCAGATGAATCTGGTTTGGGTTGTGATAAAATCAATTAAGAACGTATCTTTGTCGCATTATATTCACTTTTATGTTGGTGTTGACGGTGCTTATTCTTCAGCGTCGACAATAATATTTATTTTTATATTTTATTTTATTTATTAATTCGGAGTGAATACAATATATATTTGTTCGAAAGACTCTCAACTATCTAACAATTAACGCTCATACAATCATACATATGTTATACTCAAATATAAAATCTTTAGAAACAACAATAATTCGTTGTTTGGTTCATACGTAATATTTTGAACACAATGAACATATTTGCATGCATTGAGGGAAAAACGCGTATGATACAGAGAGCATGGCATGCACACGACAAGACGAGACGAAATGTCCAAATATTAACAAGAGAACAGACCCACCCACCAACCAGATCTACGTACTTAAAATGTAGTAATTTTCCCAAGCAGATGAACCCTTTGCCCTTTGCGAACTGTCATTTTCTTGGCGTCCAAACAACACCTATATTATATACTATAAATTTGTTTACATTTTTATAATGATCAGCTAAGGTACGTAATTAAAACCTCGTATCCAGCTGTTTGTTTTGTATTTACATTGAAACGAAGAAATGTATAAAATATTTCATAATTACAGAACATGGAATGATTTTTGGTCCCATGTTGTGGGTCGGCTGGAATTTTCTATTTCGTAATATGATCACCTAACCCTTAACTTTGGATCGTTTGTACCTACCAATACTCGATTATCATCCCACTTTTTATTTGATATTGGCTGTGAGTAAAAGCTTAATCTTATTGATGATCAATTGTTATACTTTATTTTTATAATTTGCTTCTGACTATTAGTATAGATTAATTTGATATTCGATCCGATTATCATTTGAATCAATCCAAAAAAATAATAACCCTAAGCATAAACCAAACACAATATAAAAAAATTAATGTCCATAAAAAGAGTTTGCAAAATCATACGTAACATTTAATTTTCATTTCATTTAAGTACCCGCCGTTAAAAATTTAACGTGTTTAGTATTTAAACTGACAGTTTTGGTTCGTTTTAGTACCTAAACTTTCAATTTTTCAAAACTTAACGTTAAATTTTGAACGGGTACTAAAACAAATCAAAAACTAAAGTTTTTAACGATGTGGTACTAAAATGAAATAAAAGCTAAACTTTAGGCATATTTTAAAAAAATTGAAAGTTTAACTATTAAAACGAATCAATATTGATAGCTTAGACACTAAATACCTAATTTACCCTTATTTTTATGGATCCTTTGGATTGCCCATTTCTTAATTCCTGCGGTAGATAAATTGTAATATGAAGATGCATTACATTTATGTTTTAATGGGATTTAACAAAGTTAATGATCCTCCTCATATGCTTTAGAGCACATAGATTAGAGACAAGTAAAATCTTTTTTACATATAAAATGGTACAATCTCAAACATTTTAGGGTAAATTACGTGTTTAGTATCTAAACAGTCAATTTTGGTCTGTTTTAGTACTTAAACTTTCAATTTTTTCAAAACTATACTTAATGTTTAGTTTTTATTTCATTTTTAGTACCCCTATTCAAAATTCAACGTTAATTTGTGATTTTTTTTAAAGTTTATGTACTAAAACAGACCAAAAGTGATAGGTTAGGTACTAAAGGTGTTAATTTTTTAACTGTGAGTACTAAAATGAAAAAAAAACTAAACTTTAGGTATGATTTTGAAAAAATTAAAAGCTTAGATACTAAAACAAATCAAAACAAATATTTTAGGTACTAAACACATAGTTTACCCAACATTTTATCAGTATCTAAAGATTTTCTACTTGCATAAATGAGACACTGTTGGGCCTACGAACCTGATATGCAACAAATAAGGCTATACAGAGAGATGCTAATGAGAACAGAAAGGCGAAGGCGCTGGTCGCGTCCAAGGCGCTGCTCGGTGCTGACTCGGTTAGCATAGAACCACCTGAAGCAATATACAATGGCACCCAATCACAGTTGATTGTATAATGTCCGGATCCAACCCACGGATTCCCGTCGACTGGATACCAGAATGCGACCGACATCTTGCTCGATCCATTGATTGTGAACTGAATATCCTGCAACTCAAACAGAGACTTCACTTGTGCCATGTTGTTGCAAGGTAAAAATCTAATACAAACCAAAAACTAACCAGAGGGAAGTACACTAGAAGGCCAAAGCGAGAAGAATGTTATGTAACCTTTTGTAAACGGTCCATGGTTCTCAAAGGCCGAGCGAATTCGAAATAGTAAGTTCCCGTCTGATCTCCGGTTGAATAAGGACTATCTTCCTCCACGAAACCTATCAAAAGTGTACCAGATAAACTGAGTTTCTAATGAAAAACGACAGGAAGCAATTACTCCTTTAGTATATAATCACAACAGTTGGATTACCTGAATTATCTATGAAGCTACTGTGCCACCATGCTCCTTTCCAGTCATTCTGTGCACTAGAATCATTTCCTAAGAATGAAGAATTGTAAATCTTTCTTAATTTAAAGAATTGTAAATCTTTCTTAATTTAAAGAATTGTAAATCTTTCTTAATTTAAAGAATTGTATAGCTCAAAGCCCAAATCGACTATCGAGGTATAGCACCAAGCATAATCAACCAGTCGATATGCCATCTCGATCATTAGAGACGTGATTGAGGCTTATCCTAAAAAAGTTGCTTCTAGTGAGTGACACATCCATTAGGCAAGCATTCTAAAAGATATAAGTATTGACTTATGGAGTAGTCTTGCATTCTCTGACACATCGATGACCCCTTGTAGTCACTTTCTTTAGTGCCTAATCCCACTTTGCTTTGCCATCCTCAAAGCAGGACCTATCATTTTCATCTAAAAAAACAGGCCACTAAGATTAAAGGATCTTAGTACTTACCAGCAGGACCCATTCCATCAAGGAATCTACAGTGTGGGTTCCAAGCATATACATCAACCAAATGACCCAAGCTGTCGGCAAAAAGAGTACTTCATTCACTATTATGATGGCTTAAAATACATTTGTACTACAACTTATGCTGTACTATATGACCTGTCGCCTCCAGTTGCGTTTCTGTTATCCATCGGGTTGCCACCATAAAGCCGCCCGGGTATAGCACTTCCGATCGAGAAGTGCATAATGTCGACTTCATGGCCTTTGCAAGTCTTGTTGGTGCAAGATCCCCTTTGTTCTTTGCAGCCACCCATCTTGCACCTCAACAAAGCATTCTCAATTTTCCTCCTTGCGTCAAGGAGAAGCTAACAAAGAGCACCAGAGTAAGATGAACAAAGAACAATAGTCGGACCGAATAACTTACATTATGATAGGTAGCATCGTCGCCGATTTGAAACATGAGAGCTACAGATGGGCATCTGCTACTATCCCTTCATTGAAGTGCAACATAAAAAAAATAAAGGAATCGAAGTAAACCAATTCGGAATGTCATGGATAATAGTATCATGAAGCATACCCTTTGGAGTAAACATAGTTCCCATCAACTTGCAACAAGAAGAAGACGTTATTTCCATCATGTAAAGCCTAAGAAAATCCCACAAAAACATTGCATCAGACCTCCTCCTCCACTATTCCCCCCCCCCTCAAATAAAGGGTATTAGTATTACCTTCACTATCATTTTTCCATCTCTGTACTCATGGTCCTCATCCGGATCAAGAGCAGGACGGAGAGGGAACTCGAACCCATCGATGTCTTTCCAATCACTGGCGCGGCCATTGAGAGTGATGACTCCGGGTCTAAACTCTGCCTGGACTTGGATCTCCGAGTATGACTCGCAACTCCACTCTCCCGACTCCTCGTGCGAGGTGACCCGTTTGGTTAGCCCCAGCCCCAATACCAATAGCGCTAGCAGGAGGACCCGAACCATTGTCGAGCAAGAAATTTCGTTGTCGAAGCGGGTGTTTTCGGTTTTTGTTGTTTGTTTTATAACTTCTTTTGGGATTATTACATTCCTTAGCCGATTAATGAAACAAAGGCGGCACTAAACGACAGTTAATTTGTTTCTTATATCGCTCAATTTCATTGTACTTGTAAATGTTTAAATAGCAGTACAATTTTCATGTAGCAATTTGCATGTGCAGTACAGTTAAGTTGGCCCTTGAAATCAATGTCTCAAAACACTCAGCAGCTTTCTCTCTCTCATCCTTCACATTTTAGAGAAAAACCCAAACTTTCTCCGGCCGTGCTCCCGTCTATCAGACAACCAACCCTGATTTCTCCGACCGCCGGTCGACTTATTCGTCTCTAAAATGTATTTGGGTCGGCCCAAGACCACCGTCAACACCCGCCACAGTCCTGTAGCTGAAGAAGCCCTTCAACTCGCCTTACATAGTGGCCAAGCTGGACGAAAGGGTTCTCGTCTCGTTGGAGTCTAAGCTCCGATGACTACAATTCCTTGCTTAGAGAGCTTGGGAACAGAGGTGAGTATGAAACAGCAATTAAGTGTTCTCAATTCGCTGTTGGAAGAGAGAGAGAGAGAGGAAGAAATGAACAAGGAAAATTAGCTAGTGCCATGATTAGTATTCTTGGTAGATTGAGGAAACTTGAACTTGCCAATGCTATTTGCGATACTGCATTAAGAGAAGGTTATGGAAATAATGTTTATGCTTTCTCAACTCTAATTAGCGCTTATGTGAGAAACGGATATGATGAGGCCATAAAGGTTTCCGATTCTATGAAAAAGTACGGATTGAAGCCAAATTCAGTTGCTTATAACGCTGTGATTGATGCTTGTGGGAAAGGAGGTTTAGAGTTCAAAAGGGTTGTAGAGATTTTCTGTTTCTTTATAGCTCCACCAAGTTCTGAAATTTTCCGCAGGTGCTTCTTTTATAGCTAGTTATCAGCTAGCTCATTTGATTATTCCTAAAGCCTCGAACAGAAATGTCTTTGCCTGTATTAATGCATGAGTGGTACATATACTTAATGATAACTGCATAAGTTCTAGCTTTTCAAGAAAATGGCGTTGTCTGCACATTAGCTTACTCATTATCTACTTGCAGTTGAACAAATCAAGCAAACTGTACTTTAGGCCCTGAAATTTACTTGATGTGGAAAGGTTTATCTGATTTGCAAATAGTTGGACTTTATTTGTTAGTATTACATTTTAACCAGTCTTTATCTTGAAAAACATGGATGATCATTACTATGTATTGGATTGGATGCAGCTGCTGTGATTCCTTCGAGGATGCTTCAATGTTGTTCGAAGAGCTCCGGCTGGTTTATAATTGGGTGTATGGTGTTGCCCATGGGCTTCTCATGGGGTATAGGGAGAGTGTTTGGATCCTGTTGAATTATCAAGTAATCTTTTAGAATTTGCACCTCTGATTTTTATTCATTCAAAAGATCATCTCATGCTTCACGTTTTCAGCAGCTTATATAGCAGCTTTACAAACCCTTAAAATCTCCTTAACAGAATTCTGTTACACAATTAGTAATACCATTCTTGTAACTAACAGCCTCTAGAATCATCTTTAACCATCCTATACACACGCACGCACAGGAGCTTCCATGGGACTGCTATATCATATGCAGCAACTCTCAACATTCTCCCTACTTCTTCTCGTCTTCAGCAATCAACCAAACTTTTAGCTTATCACGAAAGCAAATAAATGCTGATTTGACAATGGCTTGGTCAAACCATCGGCAGCTTGATGAGCTGCAGGAACATAGCTCACATAGAGCTGATTTGCTGCAATTTTTCTCGTACAAAATGAACATCTAAGTCCACATGTTTGGACTGCGAATGATATACGGGATTAGCACTTAGAGCAATTGCACTTGTGTTGTCGCACCATATAGTGGACTGCTTATCACGTGGCACTTTCAAGTCAGCAAGCAAAGCATCAACCCACGCTACCTCTGCTGCAGCATCTGCAAGACTCCTATACTCAGCTTCCATGGTAGACCTGGAAACTACCTTTTGTTTCTTTGCATTCCATGACACGAGACTATCTCCAATAAAAACACAGTGACCAGACATTGATCTCCTGTCATCAGCACAACCCCCCCAGTCAGCATCCGAGAAGGCTGAAACTTGCAATCTACCTGGTACAAACGCAAGACCATAGTTCAGTGTCCCTGCCAGGTACCGTAGAATACGCTTAGCAGCAAGTAAATGTTGCTCTCTAGGAGCATGCATATACTGGGCCACCTTGTTCACACTGAAGGCAATATCAGGCCTTGTGTGACAAACATAGAGTAGACCACCTACCAAACTGCGAAATTCACGAGCATCAGCAAGCAAGTGTCCTTCATCCTTATTCATCTTGAACGAAGCAACCATGGGAGTAGCTGTGGATGTAGCTTTGACCATTCGCGCCTTCTCAAGTAGTTCCAATATGTACTGTTTTTGACTAAGAAACAACAATTGATCACATCGTTTTACTTCAATACCTAAGAAGTAATGCAACTCACCTAAGTCTTTTAGGGCAAACTGATTTTTTAATAGCAGCACCACTTTCTCAATTCCATCCGACGATTGTCCTGTGACTATTATATCATCAACGTAAACTAAAACATAAGTCGATACTCCATCTTCTGTTAAAACAAACAGAGAAGCATCAGCTCTGGACTCCTTGAAACCAAGATGAAGTAGTTTGTCCTTCAACTTAGCATGCCAGTTTCGTGGTGCTTGACGCAGGCCGTACAAAGATTTTGAAGCTTGCAAACTAACTTACCACCATCGGGAGTGTATTGCTCGAAACCAGGTGGTTGATGCATGTATACGTCTTCATGCAAATCACCGTGAAGGAATGCATTGTTGACATCCACCTGCCTCAATGACCAGCCTCCAGATACGGCAAGAGCAAGGACGACATTCAGCGTGGAGAATCGAACAACAGGACTGAAGGTTTCCTTAAAATCTTTCCCGGGCACCTGAGAGTACCCTTTAGCCACCAGTCGTGCCTTGTATCGTTCCACAGACCCATCAGGATTATGCTTTATCTTAAAGAGCCACTTGCAACCTACCGTGTTCGCCCTTCGGGTAGTTTCACAAGCGTCCATGTGTTATTGTTCTGAAGTGCAGTGAGTTCAGCATGAACTGCTGCACTCCATTCTTTAGACTTCATCGCTTCATTAATGGATGTAGGAAGAGAGTCACTCAAGGAACTAACAAATGCCTTGGGCTTAAAGATCCCGCACTTGCTTCTTGTTAACATGGGATGCTGATTTGATAATGTCAGATTTTGCTCAGGAGCAGCCTGCATGTGATCATTAGTTAGATGCTCAGGCGCTGCAGAAGGTAGCTGGGTATACAATATCTTGAGATTCAGTTGTGCTGTCTTGTTCAGCTAAATTATCAGCAGCACCTTGCATACTGGAACCCATATCATGTTGACTACTAGAGTCTTCATACATATGCGAAGACGTGTGAGAATGTATTAAAGGTTCAACAACATCCTTTGCGTGTACTCGGTTTGACACAATCGGTAAAGGTGCCGATTGCCACGCATGGATATCAGATATACAACCAGATTGTTGTTTCTCTGTAAACGGAAACACATCTTCATCAAATTTGACATGTCTCGAAATATACACTCTACCATCCTGAGCAAGACACTGAAATCCTCTGTGCTGGGAGCTGTAACCCAAGAACACACATGGAGAAGAGCGAAACGTTAGCTTATGTTGTTGAAACGGCCTCAAATGAGGAAAACACCGACAACCAACACGCGTAGTGACTTGTAGTCAGGTTTGTATCCAAACAATTTTTCAAATGGTGAGATGTTACCTAACACCCTTGTTGGTAACCGGTTTAAATGTGCTGCTGTGGCCACAGCATAAGACCAAAATCTGAATGGAAGGGCTGCCTGAGCAAGTAGCACAAGAGCCAGTTCGACTAAATGGCGATGCTTTCGTTCTACAACGCCATTTTGTTCAGAGGAGTGCGGACATGTGACTCGATGGGAGATACCTGCACGAGTTAGCTCATATGACAACTGCCTGTATTCACCTCCCCAATCACTTTGAACTGATTTAATGGTCAAAGAAAACTGAGTTCCAACCATTGATTGAAATAACCGAAATGCATCAAGAGCCTGAGACTTATTTTTGAGCATGTAAACCCAAGTATGGCGTGTGCATGCGTCTACAAATGAAACGTAGTACCGATAGCCACAAGAGGGAACATGTGCAGCACCCCAAAGATCGGTATAAACTAGTTGAAAAGGATTGCTATAAACTGTAGTAGAAGAATCAAAGGGCATCTTGTGGCTCTTTCCCATGCAACAGGCAACACAAGTGGAATTAAGAGCATTTGAAATATTGACATTGATCGAAGTACACACATCTTTTAGTGTTTGAAAGGCAGGATGTCCTAATCTCCTATGCCAAGTTCAAACACATTAGAAGTGACAACATTATGAACTTCAGCTTTATTACATGAAGTAACTGTAGGTTCTATAGCAAACGTATAAAGTCCTTCACGCTGCTGCCCTCTAAGTATCACAGCACCAGTCATCTCATCCCGAACAAAACACTCATCAGCATGAAATTCTAGGAAGACTTTGTTATCCTTAGCAAGCTTGGACACAGAAAGCAAATGCTTCGTTATTCTTGGTACATGCAAAAGATTGCTCAAAATTATGTATGAGGAGAAGCATGTAAAACAGAAGAACCAACCGAGTTTACCCTTAGAGAACACCATTGCCTACTAGAAGTTTACCTGGTCCAGTAAACTCGGAGGAGTTCATCACCTTGGAGGCATCTGGAGTTACGTGATGGGTCGCACCAGAATCAATAACCACTGTTCACCTGAAGCCATGTGTGTTTGAGGAAGATTAGAACCAGTCTTACCACTACAACGAGCACATCCTGATGAATCAAGAAGCACACAGTTAGTAGCACCCGATTCATTTCTGGACTGTGACGAACCAGACATCGCATGACCCCAGGGAAGTCGCGATCAAATCTGTACCAACATCGATCGACGAATGCCCAT